ACCGCCCACCCACAGAGAAAGGAAAAAAAAGGCAGCGCTGTAAGTCAGACGGCACGACCCGCCCTGCTCTGTTCTGATTTGGTAAAAAACTTTGACTCTGGTTCTCTCGATTGGGTGAAAGAATTGTCACTTTAATCCCTAGACGGCTTTAACAAGTTTTTTTCTCTCGTTTATTTTTTTACAATGAAGAACACCCGCGGAGGAAAACTTAAATCCAGGTCTTTTTTTCTTGGTTGTCCACAGACAACCGGGAGGCGGGATCTGGTTGTCCGAAACAAAAATAGGTTGTCTCGGACAAACTAAACAATTGTGTCAACCCCTGTTTTACGTTGAATTAAAAAAAATAAATAAACTTCATTCCGAAAGTGTGGCGGCTTTTATTTAGCCGTGGCGGTGTGCCACGATCAATTACATGTAGGGGAAACCCTGTCCACCATAAGCCTGGAACGTTTTTGTTTTACTCTAGTTAGGATATTGCTGTTTTACTTCTTGCATCAAATCAAATGTTTTTAAGTTTAGCTATTTAAAAAAGTTTTCTTTATTGTACTACTGTTTGATAACTCAGATTAATAGTTGGTTTTGATTCTTGAGCGCGTTTTGTTAAACTAAAATAGAAGCACTTGCACGTGTTTCGTTTTGATCCTTCACACTATAAAACACTAAAAGGAGAAATAGTTTTGTATAAATGGAAAATGTATTGGGAGTTTATTATTTCACGTATGATCTATTTTGGATATTCGGAAACATTTTTTTCTGCTCACAGTTTTGTTGCTACAGGAAGGATTGTTGGCAAACAGTTTGTTGGCAGAGTTTAAACTGCAGAAGGCGTACAAGCCTGACAGCAGCCAAGATGTACTATGTCCTGTCACAAAGTAACTCGTGGTATTACCTTTAGTGCCTGCTGACATGACTTGCCACTAGTAACATTTGTCAATATAAAACCTAAGAGCAATTGTTTCTACAACTCCTGGCAAAAAGTATGGAATCACCAGTCTTGGATGAGCACTCATTCAGACATTTTATTCTGTAAAACAAACTCAGATCAAAAACATGATACAATAATTAGGTCATTCCAAAGTGCAACTTCTTGGCTTTCAGGAACACTCAAAGAAATGAAGAGAAAACATTGTGGAAGTCAGTGAATGTTACTTTTATTGACCAAGCACAGGGGGAAAAAAAAGGAATCACTCAATTCTGAGGAAAAAAGTATGGAATCACCCAAAATTGGAGGTAGAAAATAAGGACACACCCAATCAATTTCCTTTCCCTAAATGGACACCTGCCTCAGATTACATCTGCTCGTTAGTCTGCAGTTAAAAACGCCTGCAGTCATGACACCTTGGAAGACTGCTGGACGAAGTGGAGTGGCAAGAACCATGGCTCCAACAAGAGACATGTCTCTTGAAACAAAAGAGAAGATTTTGAAATTTCTTGAAGAAAGTAGCTCGTCACGCATGGTTGCTAAAGATGTGGGCTGTTCACAGTCAGCTGTATCCAAGATATGGACCAAATACAAACAGCATGGAATGGTTTTTAAAGCCAAGCGTACTGGTAGACCAAGAAAGACATCAAAGTATCAAGACAAAACAACTTTAGGCCATTTGTCTTGAAAACCGAAAACTACAACTAAACAGATGAAGCATAAATGGGAGGAAGCTGGAGCCATGTATGTGATCGAACCGTAAGAAATCGCCTAAAGGAAATGGGATTTCAATACAGGAAAGCTAAAAGAAAACCATCATTGACACCTAAACAAAAAAGAACAAGACTGCAACAAGACTGCAATGGGCTAAGGAGAGGCAATCATGGACTGTGGATGACTGGATGAAAGTTATCTTCAGTGATGAGTCAAGAATCTGCATTGGACAAGGTGATGGTTCTGGAACTCTTGTTTGGTGCCGTTCCAGTGAGATTTATGAAGAGGACTGCCTGAAGAAAACAACCAAATTTCCACAGTCCTTGATGATATGGGGCTGCATGTCAGGCAAAAGCACTGGGAAGATGACTGTGGTTAATTCTTCTAACAATGCAGTAAGTTTTCTCAAAACTCTGGCCCCTGCTGTCCACTTCAGACTTGGAAATGGTAATTCATGCCTTCATTTCTACCCGCTTAGACTATTGTAATAGCTTGTTCACCTGTCTTCTGGTCCTCACCTTCAGAGCTCTTCATGGCCAAGCCCCAGAATATATTAAATGTCTCATTTTTCCTTACAACCCCAGACGAGACCTCTGGTCATAGGATCAACATCTCCTTATGGTTCCCCTCCCTCACTTTAAGACCTGTGGTGACCGGTCCTTCTCCTCTGTGGCCCCCAGGCTCTGGAATGAACTCCCTTTTAATCTGTGCTACATTGATAAAATTGTCTCTTTCAAGAAACTCCTAAAAACTCACTTTTTCTCGCAAGCGTTTAGCTAACCATTTTACCATTACCGCCAGCCTACCTCCTTTGTGAATGCTTCGCTAATATGTGTTTTCTTTGAACTTAAGCCATATTTTCTCTCCCGCATTCATTATGTTTTTGTGTATTACTGTAAATTTTGACCTGCATTGACCTTGTTTGATTTACAATTTTAGAAATTAATTCCTGATTTGATGTTTCAATTTTCATTTCTTATGTATAATTATGTTTTTCTGTTTCATTTTATTCTTTTCACCATTTTTATACTGTTAATGATTGTACAGCACCTTGTGAATATATTTCTGTGAAAGGCGCTTTATAAATAAAACTTTACTTACTTACTTAATTACTTTTACATTGACATTTTGGACAGTTTTCTCATCCCTTTAATTGAACAGATGTTTGGAGGTGATGAAATACATTTCCAAGATGACAATGGATAGCCATGTCCATAGCCAGCCATAGCCAGCCTAATGGAAGCCATAGAGCAAAAACATGGAAGGCATTCCTTGGAGATAGACACATTCAGTCGATGTCATGGCCTGCAAGTAGTCCAGATCTCAACCCAATTGAAAACCTGTGGTGGAAATTGGGGAAAAAAAAGGTCCACAAGAAGGCTCCGACCTGCAAAGCTGATCTGGCAACTGCTATCAAAGAGAGATGGCACCAAATTGATGAAGAATACTGTTCGTCACTCATCAAGTCCATGCCTCAGACTGCAAGCAGTTATAAAAGCCAAAGGTGGTGCAACTAAATATTAGTGTTGTACTGTATTTTGAATGGTCTTCTGTTTTTCATGATTCCATACTTTTTCCTCTCTGAATTGAGTGATTCCATATTTTTTTCCCTGTGCTTTTTCAATAAAAGTGACATTTACTGACTTTCACAATGTTTTCTCTTCATTTCTTTGAGTGTTCCTGAAAGCCAACAAGTTGCACTTTGGAATGACCTTATTATTTGTCGTGTTTTTTTTTTTTTTTATCTGAGTTTGTTTTACAGAATAAAATGTCTTAGTGTTCATCCAAGACTGGTGATTCCATACTTTTTGCCAGGGGTTGTAGTTAAAATAAAGCTGTTCCCAGAAGCCTTTGAGCACTAATAAGAAAAGAAATGAGAATTGAGCTGTTATCAGAGCTTAGGGTTGGGCATAATCATATCATGTGCAATTAATCGTCAGAAAAACACTAATCAATTACTTTTTGGCACTTGACGATTAATACGATTAATGCCACCAGGCAGAGTCCTCTCGCTGCTCCTCTCTGCTTCAAATATGATGAACATTTTAAAAAAAAGTTATGCAATTTATTTATCGATCAACACAATTTAAAATTTGATGTGTAGCTTGAAGTTTGTAATTTTGACTCAGTTTGGAACAGATTTTTATGAAGAGCAAATCTTTCCCACTACATTGGTCACGTGACCAAGAGCAAATATTTCCCACTACATTGGTCATGTGACCAGGATATAAAGGTGTCCAGGGACTCCAGGAGATTAATCATCAAATTAATCGTTATCGGCTAAATACCACAATAATCGTGATAAAATTTTTTTGCCAATATTGCCCAACCCTATCAGAGCTCGGTGAGTTTTACTGTGCCAGGTGTCATTACTGAGCAACCAGTGTGACCAAATACTGGTTTATCCTGCTAGAGTTTATGTAATCAAATGGTTTTTCTGAGGAACATTTAGAAGAGGTGTTGATGTGTAGTTTAGCAACACATCAAATCATAACACTTTGACAGAAGCATGTTAAATGCTGCACAGGACACTGAGAATTTGTTTTTATTAAAGAAAAAAATACATAGTTGGTACCTGATTCATACCTGTCATTGCAAAGAACATATTTTCACTGGAGCATACCATGCATTTATCATCCTTGTCGTCCTCTGACATGAGTTTAAAATGATGTTATTTATATTGTGGTTTGCATGCATTCATTTATGTACAGCCTTTTAAAAAGGGTAGTTCGTTTGGTCCAAGTCAATCAGAGGGCCTTGTTCTGCAAAGGAGTATTGTGGTCCAATTTAGTAAGGTGCTCAAACCATCGCCCCTCTACCACCCTGCTGACAGCGATATGAGATGTTTGTGTAGATTTGCAATCAGTTTTTTTCTAAACATTCTGCTGTGCATTATGGGTAAATCTCTAATTTGGTTTCAAATCAATAAAAGTTTTTTTGGCATTCTCTGAACCTTGCATGGAATAAATCTGAGAAGACTGGCAGCTGTCTCAAATGGTTTCCAATTGTGAATAATATTTTTTTCTTCTGTAGAATAATGGATTTTAAATCATTTGGAACTGATAAATTGGCCGTCCAATTTATTGGCACCAATTTCCTTAATTTTGGAAGATCAGAGCTCGGCCAATACTTAAATAAGATTAGTGGAAAATATCGGCTTCTCATCTACCGCCACAAAGGTCTGAAAATCAGCCACTTTTTCTCTGCTTTGAGCACTACCCAATGTCCAGTTAAAACAAGTTTATATTGTTTCAAGAGTTATATGTTTTTCAATAAAATAAGATTGGAACGTTGGATGTGTGTTGTGACCTTATGACACCTGACAGTTTTGTCTGTTTAAAAAATTTGTCTGCCAAAATGGGAATCAGCAGGTCAGACTTGTTAAAGATCACTGATAAGCCAGAAAACTGCAATCAATACACCCACCTGTAACTCTTTCAAGTTGATGGGCAGCAACAGTTCCTTTAAGGTCCTTTAAGGTTGTTTGTTCTTGGCGTTGTGCTAACACACATCTGCTCTGTAAAGCAGCAAACTGACAGAACTCTTGCTTTTATAGAGATGCTCACGCTGATGATCAGTTAAGCACCCCACTGACGTCAGTTGTCCACACATCTGTCCTGGTTCAAGCTTCTCTGTTTTATCTCCGTCATTGAGTTTTTTAGCTGTTTTCATGTACAACAGTTGGATTCTGGGTGTGAGTAATAAAGTAGAAGTAAAAGGCAGTTTCCGAGCACTTCCAGCAGAAATAAACATGCCCACAACTTCTGACCAATCACACAGTAATTACTTATGCAGAGGGAGGAGAAAAGTTCAGCTGGCGGGTTGTGACAAGAAGGGGTGGAAGAGTCAAAGCTGCAAACAAAGTGATGCAATTTTTGTCATGCAACTGTGACGATCCGATTTTGGCAGTTCACATGGAGTATACTGGGCACTCTAATCATACATCTGATCAGCAGCTGCTGGTTGATAGAAAACCTCCTTAAATCTTATAAAAGATCAACGGTGAAGGGTTTCCACACTCATCTTTAACATTATGGCTTTCCTTCTGTTCAGAAATGGCATGGCGGTATCTGTTTCTGTATACTTGAGAATAGATATGAATAACTTTAAAATATGGTTTAAAAACATGTTCTCCTGATATAAAACACTAGATCTGAAGGGGGGTGGACTTCAGTAATGGAAATAATCAGTTTAACAAGGTTATTTCAAACAACAAAACATAACTTAAAGTTTAGTTATTTATCTACCTTTTTCTTCTGGTCCATGTACTGAAAATAACATTTTTTTAAAATCTGCTCTCTCCAGACTTCACGAGGAGGTGGTGGATTTCTACAACTTCATGTCTCCTCGGCCCGAAGAGGCAGCGATGAGGAAGGAGGTAGTGACGCGAATAAAGAAGATCATCAATGAGCTGTGGCCCAAAGCGGATGTAAGATGTTGTCTGCGGGAATCAAAAGTTTACAAGATACAAATTTAGAGGGGTTTCTGCTTAATATTTTGACATGGTGCGAATCATCCAGTGATGCAGGGTTGATAGAAATCCCTGCTCTTTACTTAATCACATAAAGCACAAGCGGGGGGGACTTATCGGCTGCCAGCTTTCCCCATTTCCACTGAAAGCCACATTGTCAGGTAAATGGATCGAGCTGGCCATTTGTTCCAGCCTCCTTTCCCTTTCAGCCTGTTATTCCTGGCCTGTCCTTGTGCTGTTGCTGTGTTGTATTTAACAGGAGGAAAAGGAAAGAACTCCATTCTACTTCCTCTGGAGAGCTTTCACTAGAAGCCCTAAAGCACTGCCTTTTTGTTTCTAAATCCTAGTGAACTTAATTTAGCAGTATACTTAGCTTTGCAGTTTTGAATATTCTTAATGTAGAACCCCAAGAGAGTCTTGTTGATAGTAGTTGGATGTCATTATCACCACAGATTATGCAAACAGTATGTATTTATTTGTATCCAGTGGTGGGCACTGGACAAAACTAATGCAGCGTTCCAGTTCCAGTGGAGCTTGAATTTGTGAAGTTTCCAAGTTGTCAGAACGTTGGAAAAAAGTTTTTCGAATTCTTGCTTTGATAGAATAATGTAACAACAATAGCGCTGTGTGGCGCATTGAGCGTTAAAACATGCTGTACTACTACGATTGACTGACTGTAAAATAAACAACACAGAACTGCTAAAAACCGTAAAAGTAAAGAGTTTCATTCAGTGTTTATGTGAGAAGTAGCCATGTTGAAATGACGACATCACACGTGCTCTGGTTGCATTGACTTCCCAACTCGAAATTATGACGTTAGTGGACTTTCCATTTGATATTTCCGATCCAGAAGCCAGAAACCTTGTCATCCAAGTACAACTGGAATGCAGCTTAATCTACTAAACAAGAATCTTAGCTCCACTAACTCAAAATCCACTAAAGCTAATGCTAAGTCACTCAGCCTGTCACTCATCTTCATCTCCTTCCATCTGAAGACTGCTGTGACTGATGCAAACTTGTTGTTAGTTTTCTATTGGTTTAATTTAAAGGTGGGTGGGATCATCTGTGGCAAATCAGCCAATCCAAACCAGCTCTGTCTAAAAAAATAATTTCTTTGATATTTTTATAAATATGGTTCGAAGTTAGTCAAACCACAGATGGCAAAAACTTTCTCCACCATATTTTATACATGGTCAGTTTTTGTGTTTATTTAAAATATTGTTAATTGTTGTTTTATTTCTTTTTGATGCTCTTACTTTGAAGTTTAGCTGCTAAAGATGCTACAAACACAGAGAGGATAGTTTTTATTTAATTTGGGATAAATGGCATAAAGATAGAAGTTTAACCTTTTTTGGTGAACTTAAAATTAGTGGATCCTAATTTAGTGGAAGCTAAGCGGTCTACTAAGAGTTTTAAAAGTTAGCAAAAATGTAAACCGCTAAATGAGAAGCTAGTTTTCTATTAGCAAATTAGCTGAATTGTTTATATCAATAGATTCCATAATTGGACAAAAGTATGCTGTAATTATCTTCAGCTTTCAAACTGTTGTACAGTTTTTCATTTTTAAAAGTCTCCTTTTTTTTCCTAGGTTCAGATATTTGGCAGCTTCAGCACAGGGCTGTACCTTCCAACCAGGTAAGGTTTTGTTTATAAATGGAGAAAATTCCAACTGTTACTGTCAATTTCAGTACATTTTGATTAGCATAAATGCTAATGCATTTTCTCACACAGTGACATCGACCTGGTTGTGTTTGGAAACTGGGAGCGACCCCCACTGCAAGAGCTGGAACAGGCGCTTCGTGAACACAACATGGCAGAACCTGATTCCATTAAAGTGTTGGACAAAGCTACAGTGAGTGAAGTTAAACATGACGTGTTTTTTTCTGCTGTTCTGTTTCTGCTCATATTCTTTAAATAATGTTTCAGTGATTCATTTATCTTTGTCTTAACAGATTTATTGATGTTAAATTATGATTCCAGATTTAAAAGAATACTGTTTATTACATTAGAAAAGAACAGAATACAGCTGCAGATCATTTTAATAAAAAGACATAAAACAACGAAAACAGGAAGAGAATTGGAATAAGCTTAGAGCTTAATCTGCCATTATTTCTCCTTACAGTGTTAAAGTTGGGCCATTGTCCACAGCTAAGTGAGCTAATTGTAATTTGTGCATCGCCTTTGGAAGTGTTCATAGGAGTAATGTTAAAGTGGATTTCTGTCGAAGTCATAGATCTAACCTGTTGTAGATGGCTTCTTGGAGCCATTTAAGATGGCAACAGTTCAGTTTTGAAGTAGGTCTATTTAAAATTGATTCATGAGCTAACGATGGCTAAGTCAACATGACCCATTTTACAGCGATTTTATACAGTTTTTATAAACTCAGTCCTGCCTGACATGAACCCTGGATGAGCTACATGTTGCTGCTGTTGGTGCTTTTTGTGTTTGGAAATAACAACAGACTTTATGTAATAAATGATGCCAAATTAGCAAACTCAAATCATTAGCCATCCACCACTGTGCTTGACAGTAGTTATGAGGTGTTTGCGCTGAAATACTGTTTGGTTTTCTCCAAGGGTGACACTGTGCATTATGGGTAAACATCTTTACTCTACTCTGGTCTCATCTGCAAGCTTTTACGTCAGACTTTAGAAGAAGGTGCCAACACTATAAACAATCACCCCCCCCCCCCCCCCSCCCCCGCTTACAACTTTTACAAAATTTACGTTGGGGGGGAAATGCAACTTACACATAAAAATATCTGCCAAATGTCAGGTTTGCTGAGATTTAACCCCGAGGGCATGGCCAAGCTAAAGAAGTGGTTGAAAAATGACACCTCTCTAGCTAAATGCTAATGCCTGCTCATCTGCCCAAAGAACATTGCTCCATAAGTTTGGTGGTGATTTTTCATGCTACTTTGTCAGTAAGTCATACTACTTTTTTTTCCTTTTTGGCAGCCCTTCCAACCAAGCTAAACTGCTTTGAACTTTATTTTACCTGCTAATTTAGGCCTGTAGAGTGAATACATGCTGTTTTATTTATTTATTTATTTATTGCTGTTTCTTTGAGCATTGTCTTGTCTGACCCTAGGGTGGATTGCTAAAAGATTGATTATTTTGTTTTATTTTGATTTTTATTGATCGATTATTCTATTATTTAAAATTGAAAGACAGTGGACTGTCCTCAATCATTTGAGTTAATGCTTTCTAGGTTTTATATTGCTTACCGGTAAATATATTTTCCTCAAAGGAATGGGTTGGCTGAAGATTACTATATGGGTGGGTAAGGCCACCATTGGCCACACTTTGGCTCCACCATTGCACTTAGTGGTGGATAAAATTGCTCTGTCCACTATCTGACACTCTGCGTTGCCTGAAACAGGAAAAATAAACTTACCATACCTCTGTTCTTATACAGTGTAACTCCTACGTGTCTTGAATATCTTACACCGAAAATATTAAGGTTTAGCTGTTCAATAACAGTCCAGAAAAACCAATCATGTCAACATTTACTATTCAAATTCCTCAACGACAAAGGGCATCAGTATATAATTTGCTGAACTTTAATTAATACCACTCTTTCTTTATACAATATATACAGTGGGGAAAAATAAGTATTTAGTCAGTCACCAATTGTGCAAGTTCTCCCACTTAAAAAGATGAGAGAGGCCACACATCACAGGTAGACCTCAACTATGAGAGACAAAATGTGAAAAAAAAAATAGAGAAAATCATTTTGTCTGACTTTTAAAGAATTTTTTTGCAAATAATGGTGGAAAATAAGTATTTGGTCAATAACAAAAGTTCATCTCAATACTTTGTTGTACATCCTTTGTTGGCAATGACAGAGGTC